ATACATACATACATACATGCATGCATGCATGCATACGTACGTACGTACGTACGTACGTACGCACATACGTACATACATACATACATACATACATACATAGATACATAGATACATAGATACATAGATACACACACACATAAACATATACATATGTATATACACATACATATACAATGCATGTACACATGCACACACACACATGCGCACACGCGCACACACACACACACAGATATATATATATATTTATACATACATACAAGTGTTTCTACACATAAACATCTACATATTTCTTTGCTTACATATTTCTGAGTCCTCATAGTTTGCAACTCTCAATAGCAATCTGTTAAGCTGCACTCTGGCATGTTCATTCGGCCCCGCAATATGGTCACCTTGCGACGGAGCTCAGCATGCGCCAGCAAGGCTCCTGCTGTGGGGCCGGGAAGGCAGCGCCGAGAGGGGCTCGGGGTGCAGGGGCACGACAAGAACTTGTGACACCACGAAGACTTGTGGCGTTGGGTTTGTCTTCCATCCTTGTCCTACCAGGGTTGCGAGTAGCTGGAGAGGACGGCAGCAAGGGGAAGAGGGCACGAAGAGTGCGTGCATATGGAGTGATCCGAGTTCGTTCATACTTCAGCCAAGCCACTAACTGTAAGTGGCCACTAGGCAAGATGGCTCGGCGTTGACTTTCGCCAAGCCGACTCCGCGAACCTCCACTACAGGCAACACCCGCCTAGTCATGCCAGTGGGTTCGTATCCAAATTACACGGTCTTTCGCAGCGACATTCCCTGTCAGTCGGTCCGATGGCCAGCTTGTAAGGATCAGGCTAGTTTCACTGGTGCGAGCCCGGACCCATGCAGATGCTGTGAGAGTTTCGGAGTATTAAGCCTACCCGGCCTACCCGTCCTGCGCCTGCGAGCCTTCAAGCCAGCTGTTTTGTAGCCGACGCCGACGCCTCGTTCGTGCTCCGGACGCGTTTCTCTTATCAAGATCCCCAAGTGGCTGCTCGCAGGCGCACCGCGTCGTCCGATTCTCAAGCTCAGCTCCGACTCTGCCAGCAGCGAGGACGGCAACACGTCGTGATGTTGAACATTCCTCGCTCTATGAGTAGGACCAGGACAGTTTCCAAAAGTCAGTTCGGTACTTGCGGCCTGGGTAGCGGGCCTTCAAGCTTTTGTGGCTCAATGTCAACCTTGCTACACTCTCTTCTGGCGGTGCATGCGTTCGTTTCACCCTAAAGCATATGGTCTAGGAATTGTGACAGATACCCATATGCGAGCGCAAGACCTGCTCTGTCAACCTCCAGACTTCGCAACTGTGATCGGCCGGCATACTGCCGCGGAATACCGGGCATAGCAATGATGACCACGCTCGCCATGAACTTCCTGCGGGCACGTGGGGCCCCGGTCATGGCACTGTGGCCCCGCCATTCCTCAAGCTTGCGTGTCGCATCCTGCGACCTCCAGCGCGGCTCTGTCTTTCTCCAAAAGGGAATCTATTGCGAGGTGCGCAGTTCGAAGCCTGCCGGCCATGGACGCTCAGCTGACGGAGCCTACGAGATTCGGTACCGGGAGCTCCGGACGCGGAAAGCACGGGAGATGAAGATGAAAGAGACAGAAACGCTGCAGGTTGTGGAATGCGAGCGGGTGTCAATGCCAGTAATGTATAAAGATGACACGAGGCTTGTCTTGGCAGATTCCGACTACAATGAGGTCGAGGTGGCGATGGAGCAGCTTGGCGAGGCAGGCGAAGTGCTCCAGTGTGGGCACGCCGTCTCAGTGCTTTATCACGAGGGCAACCTCGTGAAGGTTGTCCCACCACCACAGATCGCAGACCAGCTGCAGCAAGACTTCCGGAAGCAGCGGCGCGCGAAGCTTGCTTCCAGGCAGAAGGAGAGAAAGGAACTGAGGGAGAAGAGAGCCCACATGGCCGAGGAGAAGGGTGGCTAGCCCGAGCAAAAGATGCTTTGCTTCTGTTGTTTCCGCCCGGAAATCTCTGCGTCCAAGAGTACTTACATGTCATCGTAGCACCATGGAGTCAGGATAAAGATGATAAAGCTAAAGACGACAAGAAGCCCCCGTCGGACACTGAGCTCCGTTTCGAATGGGTCGTGCCAACCTGCTGCAGACATGTTGTGGACGTAGACACGTGGATGGCTGACAGTGGCTGCTGTGACAAGGCCAAAGCGCAAGCGGAAAGGCTCCGACTCTGACGAACAATCAGGCCGGACCCAACGCGTGTTGTATCATATGAAGAATGTGTGAACGCAATTGAACGCAGACATATGTAGTGTGAATGAGTGAAGGCCAGCGAGTGTCGAGGCTCTCGCGGCACACCCGAGTGGCACACTTAGCTGCGGGTCTTTTCCACTAGCTACCTCTGCGTGCTTGCCGAGCCAATTCGCGAGCAACTCCTAGGTCCGGGCGTCCTGCATGCAGGAGGTTGGATGGGGCTCCTGGCGAGATTGCGGGTCATTTGGGTGTTAGCAGCCAGCACCATTGGTGAAGATGAAAGGTTTTGGCACCCGCCGTCTGAGTCGTGCTGCATCGTGCAGGACTAAGTCGACGCTGCAGGACCAGTGAGTCCGAAGACAATGCGCGTTGTGCTTAGCGGTGTGCGCCAGGCTCCCCAGCCCCACATGCATAAAAATGTCACCAAAGCATAATAGGTACGCAACACGGCATTGCTCAGAATGCTGGTGTGCAACCAGGTGCACTCGGGACGAGTAGTACCAAACGTAAAACGGTTTCAAGGCCTATCGCAGGCCCGACCTGTACAAAGTCATCGAGGGGGATAGAGAGGAAGTTTTATTGGAGTCCTGCGTTCCAGGCGTTGGGCTCGTGATCATGCGGACCAAGCCAGAAGGGCTTCCAACAGATTGAAGACCTGTTGCTGTTGCACCGCCTTTGGTGTTCTTTTGTGGCTCATGGTTTGTTCTCTTAACCTGCGCGGACTGCTGGGTGTCGCTGCGCATGCCGGAAGTATGCCACGATGCTCACGGCTCAAGCTGTACAGCATGCAGGCAGCATTCAGCAGTCAGGCACAATGTGAGAATGCACAGGACCCAGGACATGAAGGCAAGTAAATAGGTACAGGCAACTTGAGGAACAAGCACATTGAACTGGGGCCATGAGGTCCACACGACGGCTCCAGCAGAAAAGATTCCAGCCACAGCTTCACATAGGCAGGAATAGCTGAAGGCCAGCTCGTGTTGCCGCTCTCCACCACTTCCTGACAGGCCATGCCTGCATTGACCGTCCGCTCGACTGTCCTGTTCAGACTTTGATGACTTGCTTTGGAGCCGTCAAGATCGTGTGGTGCTGTGCGGATGAGAAGGTTGAAAGAGTTCGTTTCGCCAAACGCCAGACAGGCATCCCATTCCAGACGAGTTCGTCAGGCATGGCCGAAGCCGCGCACATCGCAGTACGAATCAAGGCCAGTCGGGAGAGTCGTCGCTCCGGGCCGGGCTCCAGGGCACAGATGCGAGTGCAGGGTTTCAGACTTCCCGAGATCAAGCAAGTCACCGTAGATCAAGGCAGGGCCTAATTGTGGCACTCGAGGCGCACACCAAGATTGGCTACGGGGAAGACCTATTGGCCGCTTGCCCAGTATTGACAGTGCAGTCCGGGCCACACTCTGTGTGGCCCGGTCTGGATTCTGTGTCCTTAAAGAAACCTTGTCGGACCCATCGCCTGACTCCGTGCTTGCCTTGTGCGAGCGTGCGAGTCGAAAGCCCCAAACCTTCAAAAGCCCCGTCAGATCGCAATCGGCTGTGAGGTGTGCGGCTCCGCCCCTGCCTTGGGCAGTTGGAACCTGGCAGATGCAGCTCTGATGCAGTGCAAGGCACCGCGGTCTCAAGGTGAGGCTCGAGGCTCGAAGAACTGAGACATTTGTTGTTCCCAAAGTCACGATGTGCCTTGAAGGCTCTCAGCATTCGACTATCCCTTGCCCAATGCTCACAAGCTCCGCACACTGCGACATACACCAGAAGTCTGGCAGCAGGGGGACTTGTGGACCTTGACCACGGAGCTGCCATGTGGGGTGCGTGTGCAGCCCTCGGCTGATGAGAGTCCTCGCATTCTGCTCCTTCTAGAGTCCTAGATCTTTGCTATCAGGATGTGTCGAAGCATTGGTCCATTTGCACTAGGTCTGTAGAGGTCAAGTGAGATCTGCTTGTGGACCAAGATCAAGACGTGCTTTTCTCTGGCCCAAGCGTGTTGTCCGGCAGAAAACCAGAACCTACGACGACATCATGCGCCCTATCGTATGAAGCATGCGACAGAATGGTAGAAACCAGTTGCCGTTGCCAAGTTGTTAAGGCAGCAGAGTGAAAACCAACAGCCGTGCAAGACACTAGCTGGCAAACGTGTCTTCTCGTAGTCTCGGGTGCATTCTCCCAGAACTCAGAAGATCATGGACCAGTGCAAGTATGACTTTGAGGAGGAAGCGGCTCGCCCGATCAATGTGGCCATCGGCTTCATCCTGGTCACGGGCACAGCTATTAGCATAATTCCCGCACATGTGAAAATTTGGTCAAAGCGCAGCTGCGAGGGCGTTTCTCAAGCAACCATCTTGCTGACAAACGCAGCCTATACTTGCCTTGCTTGGAACATGATGATGCTGAAGTTTCCCCAAATAGAGTCTTGCAGATTGAATTGGTGGCTCTGTCAGGCCAATCTTTTAGCCTTCTACCAGGTTCTGGTTCAGTGGCTCTTATTCTTTCCCCTCTATTCCTGGTGCACGCATTTTGGAGAGGAAGGCCAAAAGCGCTGGTCTCGGAAGGCCTGGCTTGCTCAGGTAGGAATGTTGCTTTGCGGTACCGGGGGCCTGATTCTCTGGTCCTTGCTCTCAGATTGCTCCTGGACCATACGGCTTGTTGCAAGCGGCTTGGGATACATCTCTGCTTTTCTGAATGGCGTGCGCCAGATCCCACTCTCCGTGAAGGGCTCCGGCAGTGTCAGCTACACCTTCTACGGCTTGATGGGTTTGGGGGGTATCCTCAATCTCTACTTCCAGATTGACGGCTCGAAGGAACGACTGACCACCGTCCTCTCGACAGCAGTTGGCTGTGCCATGTTCCTTGGTCGTGTTGGTCCGCAGGATTCTGTAGTCGAGTGGTAGTGGGCCTGGCTAAATACTTGGAATTGATTTGTGCCGCTTGAAGTTCCAACCACCTGGACCCAGGATTCTGGTGGTGCTGGTGCTCTGTGCATACTATGACTGTCGCGCCGCCTGCTCTCGTTCTGAAGACTCTCTGAGAGACCATACTGGTAGCCTCCTGTGAACCAATCAGAGCGAAATGGGGCAACTTCAACAGGGTCCACATCCTCTAGGCCGTGCACCTTTAAGGAGGACAGGTCAGCGAGCTTGGAAGCAGAACAGGCCAATTGTGCAGTGCAGCAAAAACCTGTTCCCAGCTGTCTGCTCGGCAAAGCTACGCGATAGAGTTTATTCCGTGGGTTTATGGCCGGGATTCGTAGCCTTAGGCGCGATTCCCCCTGATTGTCCTTTCTGCTGTTACGTGCCTTTCCGTAGCGAGACCTTTGAGGATGGCACGGCAGAGAGCGAGAGAGAACCATGTAGGCTTGTAGGCCTCTAGCATGTGCTCCCACAGGTATGTAGCATGAGCATGATCTGTAATAGCTGTAGAAGTGTATATGTACACATACATACGTATGTATGTATGTATGTATGCATGTATGCGCGTATGTATGCATGTATGTATACATATGCACGCGTCGCTGCAATTGATCTCCAGAGCTTTCAGTGGGTGTTGGCTCTGCCTGTGTCACAGATGTTCTAAACAAGCCAAGTCTTCCAAAAGACCCTGGCAGAATACCCTGTGTAACGGAAGACCCCGTGCAACAGAAGGCCGCATGTAACAGGACGCCCTTCAAAACCCAAACCGATTGGCAAATCTCTTACTCGTAACTCAACTAATACCCGTGTAGTATCGATAATTTTATGTCTGTATGTCTGTGTATATGCATGATACATATACAGGTGTATAATGTATATATAGCATTTATGTCTACCCGTGTACTTGTGTATGCGTATCTCTCTCTCTCTCTCGAAGTGTAACAGTGTATAAAAATAAGACTAGTCACACACATACAACATGTACATGTACATGTTACATGTACATGTAGGTAGGTAGGGAGGGAGGTAGGCAGGGAGGGGTAGGTAGGTAGGCAGGTAAGAAAAGAAGATGGAGAAGAGTCAGCTCGGATTTTCTAGCTCAGGGTTGAGGTTCTGTGAGTTGCCACAGCATGCCCGCAGACAGCGCATCCCACGGTGCTCCAGAGCCAATGCCGACTCCGACTTGCTAAGGTCGAGCTCAAGCTGGTCCAGCGGCCTCAGGGTCGCCAGGTGGTTTGGTACGGGACGGGGCCCGGGCCGCAGAGTGAACGGCTGCTGATTGTTGCAATCAAACACTGGCGCAATTTCCGGCATGGTGGTTTAAAGGATTGCAGATTACAGAGCTTCAGTAGAGCGCGGCGGCGCAGCCTGGTCAGGCCCGGAGGCAATGGAAACCTGATGCTGGAGACGAGCCTAGGTGCCTTGTTTTCGACAGTAGTGCAGCTGTTGAGAACTGACTTCAGCATCCTTGAATCGCCCCCTGTCTGGAAAGGTAGAGCTGGTGCCATGCCCTCACACTTCGTGAATCTCGAGGGCACGGCCCTTGGTTGCGACTTGCAGTGCAGTCTTGCTCGCGATGCTAAGTGCGTATACAGCACGGGAGACGTTGGCGGCTGGCATGTCGTGAAGTCCTGCTTTGCGCGAGTGAGAGAGAGGAGAGATGCCGAAGTAGGGCTTGAGCTGCTCTGTTGCTTTCTTTCCCTTTGGCTTCAGGCCTTGAAAAAGTAGCGCGATGAAGCAATAAGGGAGCCCTGCGCTGTGTTTTGAGATCTTGTTTTTCTCCTTGAATTCCACGACGACTGGAGCATACAGTGTATGAGTATGCAGCAGTAGAAAATTTGCAATTGGCTCAACAGCTGTACAGCAGCTGTTTGCGAGCAGATGCCTGGAGCACTGCTTGTCTGGCAAGCGGGATGAGCTGTGTTTCCCACAAGCACAGCTCCCAGCGGGCTTCAGGCAGTGTTGGGCGTGCTCATGTTGGAACCCTCACCCGAAGCCAAACACACTTTAGAGCATCCTTACATGCAATGCACTACACCACCACAAACACGAGCTGGGGGCCGAGTTTCGGACCAAACTAGTTGAGACAGGAAGCCGAAAGTTGGCCGACATCCATGGATGTTCTGAGCCCCAGCAGGCCTGTCGCGGCTGAGCACGCGCAGCAGCACTGGCAGCCGGGCCAGCGGCAACCGGGCACATGAGTCGCGCGGAAGATAGGCTCTCCTACTGATCCTGCTCACACCCCTGGCACGTGCCGTGCAACATCCAATTCCGAGTCGAAGCCAGGCTTGCGGCTGTTTATCTGATTGTATCTGTAGACCAGCTGTCGGACGAGTCGTTGGCTTTTACAGGAGATTCTGTTCAGCCCAAGCGGGAGCGTTCCGTCCGAGTGGTGGATTCGGGACCCTGCACACCAACCCCTGAACAAGAGTGCTTGGAATTACAGACGGCGGATTCTTCAAGGGTGCCCCTTCCCGCAAGGTTTTGTAAAGGTTTCACTCGCGAACAAAGGTGGGTCGCCTTTGGTTCTCGAAAGGCAAGATAAAGCAGATAAAGTCAGCAGTTGAAGCCAGAAGTAGCGGGAAAGGTGGGAGGCTTACATAAGTTCGCAAGAAGCCATCGAAGGCACGCTGCAAGCTAGTCGCGCTTCGCCTCCCAGCGATGGCCAGAATCAGAAGCTGCGCCAAGGCGACTTTTGAAAGCAGATGTTCTGAATGCAGAATACAGCGAGTCCTTTCGCTTGCGTTAGATTTAAGGAATCATTTGGCATGGTGAAGTGCGGTAACTTCATACGGCTTCTTGCAGCGGGTTACGATACTTCTGCGTGCGTTCGGTGTTTGCTCGCATCTGCGGAGCATCGAAGACGGGGATGCGTCGGAAGTAGGTTTTGGGTTTATAGGGTTTGTGCTCCGAAGGCGCTCTTTTCAAGCGAAGAGTAGTTGGAAGGCTCGTGCATTTCCCCGGTAGGGCGCGCTTTGCAGTGCCGGAGCTTCAAATCCCGACACCCGAGCTTATAAACTTAAGCAAGAGTAGCTTGGCAGGGTGCAGACAAATTTCGATTCGGGCGCTGCAGTTTTCAACTCATCACAAAAGGCCCCGCACTTTCGCGCGAAGTTCAATCCAGAGGGCGCCGGCAGCGACCAAACCGAAGGAATCACTACTTGACTGCTATGTGAACCCCGCGGCTTATACCTATCGAGTCCTCAGGGAGATAGTTCAGCAACCCGGAGTACAAACCGGAGGCCTTCCACCACTGGCACCGGGACCTCTTCCCGGCTTAGCGCCGCGGCTTACGGCTGAGGCAGGGGCAACACAGGAAGTTGCATAGTGTCCTTGGGTGGATCATGCCCTGCCATACAGTCTGCTACGGGAGGTTCTCAGCAAGCTAGACCGAGAGAGCCGGAGAAGCGGCACGGCGAGTGCCCGGCTCGTGGCCGCCATGGGGAGCCTGACACTCAGGAAGGGAAGACCGACAATGGATGACAGCCGACTCGATCTGAGGCGCTCCTTCGCAGCAGCAACAACAGCACCTACAGCAGCAATCGCAACAGCCGCCCCCACCACCGCGGCAGCCACAGCAGCAGCGCGGAGTTTCTCTGCCGCCGCTGCCGCGTACACAGCGGCTGATGGCAGCAGTCGCTTGCCTGCAGCTACTGTATACGGCCCTGATGTGCTTCAAGTGTGGGTTCTGCGTTAGACATTTTCGGACTTCATGGCCTCGGTTCGGTCTCTTGAAGGTCGCAGGATGTACCTTGAAGTGCATGCGCCGTGGCAGAGCTGAGAATTGCAGGGCTTCAGAAGGTTGGTGCTTGTCAGGCTTCTGCAGATCAAGCAGATTCCACGCCTTCGAACGCGCCCTCGAAGAAGCCAGGGCGATCTTCGAGTACCGACCTCATCTTCAGTGCGAGATTGTCTTGGGCTCTGGTACACAGCGATTGGGGCTCCTTGTGCTTGTGTCTTGGACGACTGTTTCTCAAGCACGTGCGTTAAAGCGGAGGCATTGCGCAGGCTCCATGGTCTGTCGAGTATAGTCGAGTTGCATGTCCGCGGATCGCGCAGAAGGTGCGCAGCCCTTGCAGCCCTTGCCCCGCCGGCGGCCTCGACCTCGAGGGAACGGCCCTGTGCAGAGCTTGGACTGGCAGTCGAAAGAGGCAAGGAGGGGGTCTCATGGGTGGCCCACTTGCGCTCTGGGCGTGGGAGGCCTGGCGGGCGACGGACGGTGTCCTCATGCGCGCCTACGCGGCCCGAGTGGAGAAGGATGCCCCGACCATACCGTGCCCGCACTGCGGCCGGAAGCCGCTCGCAAAGTGATAGCACCTAGAGTATGGGTGAGTAGGCAATTAATCTCTGTGGCTTTGTAATGATGTTGCGCTCACATCCCGACGACGCTGTGAGAGCAACATAACAAGACATGACAATGTGCCTGGCCCTGAGGTTCCGGCAGGAGGCTTTGGACACACATGCACGCGTCTGCGTCAACGTGTTCGGCAAGCAGCGGAAGGCGACGACTGGGCGCTGGATGGGCATTCCCTCAGTATGGCTATGTGCGCGATCCCATGTTTCCCACGCGTTCCCACCACCTCAACCACGTCAGGTCATCATGTTGTCACACCATGCCGTTTCCCATTATACTGCGATGAAAGCTTTCGGGATAAAATAGACAGCAACATGATGACCTGTTCTGCTCCAATGTTTGTCCGTTTCCCTTCAGTCTCAGTTGTGTGTTCCGCTTCTCTCTGCTTTCTCTCCCTCAGGCCTTCGATGCCCAACGCCAACGCATGCCTCCCGGAGCTCTTCGACGGAGAGCTCGCATCAGAGAGGCCAATCTGTAGACATGTGCAAGAGGCTGAAGGCTGCAGGATGGCGGAGCCTCGCTGAGCTCGCCGGCATCGCGACCTTTCGAATCCTTTCGATAGTTCTCCGCAGTGCGGCATCCGCAGCTTGAGGTGGGTGACCACCAACCTGCCCCCCACCTCCTCTCTGCTGGAGGGGGGGGGGACGTACCACCACCCCCCCCCCCATTCACCAGTCAACCCCCCACCACCACCACCCCCCTTCCCGCATCCGTAGTCGTAGTAGTAGTGGTAGTAGTAGTCGTGGTAGTAGTAGTAGTAGTAGTCGTAGTCGCAGTAGTAGTCGTAGCAGTAGTAATAGTAGTCGTCGTAGTGGTAGCAGTAGTAGTAGTAGTAGTAGTAGTAGCAGCACCAGTAGTAGTAGTAGTAGTAGTAGCAGCACCAGTAGTAGAAGTAGTAGTAGTAGTAGTAGTAGTAGCAGTAGTAGTAGTAGTAGTAGTAGTAGTAGTAGAAGAGGTAGTAGTAGTAGTAGTAGTAGTAGCAGTCGTAGTCGTAGTGGTAGCAGCAGCAGCAGGAGTAGTAGTAGTAGTAGTAGTAGTAGTAGTAGTGGTGGTAGTAGTAGTAGTAGAAGAGGTAGTAGTAGTAGTAGTAGCAG